ACATGACCCATTTAGTAATGACATAACATCATTTGGCTCTATTTCGGATTTGAATTAACGGATTTGAAAACGGTTTTCACTCAAGTGCAAACAATTTCTGAACTTTTCCCTTAATACGACCCATCAAGCGGCACACAACGGTCTCGTCCACTGTTTGGCGATTTTATCCCACCAATGTTTCATCTGAGCTGCCGTTTTGATGACTGTACCTTGTACCTTCAATTTCCTCTTCATAATTGCCCAGTAGTTTAAAATGGGCCTGAACTGATTGGGCGGATTGGACTGGACTCCGTTGTCATTGTGCCATTGTTGTACTTCTCGGCTATAAATCCTCACAAGATCCGGCCAAAATGTTACCGGACCATCATGTGCCTGGATGAAGGGCAGAATTCGCTTCTGATGACATTCGGTTTTGTAAATCTCCGAGTTCATCATTTTCTCAGTGACGAAAACCTTTGTCTTCTGGCGGTACCTGCAACTTCCTGCTAGATCATATATTTACGAGCAAATTTATCCGCAAAACCAAATTTGATTCTGCCAGGAACACCTTCTCGAGGCTTTGCCTTGTAAAATTTTGGTCCTGGAAGCTGTTCAAAGTCGGCCTTTACATTGGTTTTATCATCCATAAGTATGCACCCACCGGACTTGGTCAGCAAGTTGTCATACAGCTTTCGATCATGGGTTCTAGCTACGGTATTCTGCTTGAGTAATCGATTTGTTTGTCTACTGGCGCGGTATGCCTGTAAGTCTACGCGGTAGCGAATTCGCTGCACTGTACTACGGGCGGCATCATACTTTTTACTCAAATCGCAATCGGACATACGTGGGTTGCTTCTGATAGACCTCACAACCTTTCCATGGAGGCTTCTGAAAACGTCCACTAGGAGCGCTGTAGTAAGCAAAAGAGTTTGTTCCATTACTACGTGGGCCATGGTTTATTTTCCTTAAGATTTCAACTCCTTTACTATAGTTGCGGCAGTGTTCCTAAAATAGTGGAACACATAAGAAACCAATGCATTCCACTATTATAGAAAGCAAAGTTAGCAACTACCACAACTACTGGAACAGTGTTCCCATTAATGGAAGACGAGTTTTCGCAAAATGTATACAATTTAATTACAATGTAATATTGTTCTAGTAAAATAGAGGTTCAAAGCTATAGATTGACGTATAAAAATTGTATATATGGTGTCGGCTTTGGCACCCAGTGACTGTTTTCGGGAAACAAAATATAAACGTAAATTTTACTGTATTTTCCCATCAAAACACTTCCCTGACTGTATTCAAACGATATTCCTTAGTGCTTCAGCATCAATCTGATTACATTTGTATGGCTGAGCAATCCTCTTATGCCAGATTTACTTTAAATGTAAGATACGCACTACAAAATGCAACTGATTTCAAGTTGCCGATATTAGATCAGCTGGTTAATACGCAGTTCAAATGAAAAGGTTGCCGTTGAAAAAAGATTGCCAATATTAGTCACACTCAGCTGATAAATATTCCATGAGATGACTCATAACTTTACACGATTTTAATGTAAACTTATATGATATATGACGCTCCATTTATGTGCATCATATTAAACAGAATTTTACACTATTTTTTCGTTTTTGTGCTAGAATTTGAAAATTGATATCAAAGCATAGGAGTGGTTAAGAGGACCCATAAAGTCTTCCGAACTTATCGTGAAAGTATCCTAGATGTACCGTACTATAAAATTACGGTGGACTTTCACACAAAATTTGGATACCAAGAATGTTCTCAAATACACAGCAACAAAATCTGAATTTAAGTGTGATGTAAACATTCAATCACGTAAATGTGTATTTAATTTCACGCAAACGACAAAGACATTACAAAGATGGGCTCCATTTATGTGGATAATATTGAACAAAAGTTTACTCTATTTTTCGAACTGTATAGTAAATATAAAACTATGATCTCACTCACTACCAGATTAAAAATGTTTTATGAATCCGGCATGTTTTAATTTAATCAGTTTGAATTTTTATACGCAACACTAATTTTATCACACTATTTGAAAAGATATTAAGGGGGCTTTTGATTCAGTATCCGTTGAAGTCCTTTCAGACAAACTCCACGCTTGTGGCTTTTCTCCATTAATTAATAACTTTTTGTACAATTTGCTGTCAGAGAAACATATGAGTTTTTCTCATGGAAACTCTACAGCTTCTCGATTTAGTTACATGGGTCTCCCCCAGGGCTCATGTTTAAGCCCCCTTCTGTATAATTTCTACGTCAGAGAAATTGACAATTGTCTAAGTGGCAACTGCACGTTGAGACAACTTGCAGATGACGGAGTAGTGTCTATGACAGGGCCCAGAGAGGCCGACCTGCAAGGACCCTTACAGGATACCTTAGACAATTTGTCTACTTGGGCTATCCAGCTAGGTATCGAATTCTCCACGGAGAAAACTGAGTTGGTCGTTTTTTTCTAGGAAGCATAGCCCAGCACAACAAAAGCTTCAACTTTTGGGTAAGCCGATCACTCATTCCATGTCTTTCAAATATCTTGGGGTCTGGTTCGATTTCAAATGCACCTGGAGATCCCACATTGAGTATCTGAGACGAAAATGCCAACTAAGGATCAATTTCCTCCGATCAATTACCGGAACGTGGTGGGGAGCCCATCCGCAAGATCTTCTAACGTTGTACCGGACAACGATTTTATCGGTTTTAGAGTACGGTAGTTTTTGCTTCCAGTCGGCGGCTAAAACGCACATCATCAAACTGGAACGGATCCAGTATCGCTGTCTCCGTATCGCGTTAGGATGCATGCACTCGACTCATACGATGAGTCTCGAAGTGTTAGCCGGCATGTTGCCACTCTCTGATCGGTTTTCTGAATTATCCCTCAGGCTCCTCACCCGTTTTGAAATTATGAACTCACTGGTGATTGCAAACTTTGAGAAGCTTCTTGAGCTAAACCCTCAAACTCGTTTTATGTCATTGTACTACGTGTACATAACACAGGATGTCAGCCCTTCCCAGCATAATCCCTATCGTGTTTGCTTCTCCGACTTCGACAATTCTGTTCATTTTGATTTAATTCGCGGAATCCCAGAGCATCATCGTTCCATGATTGCTCCGTCAATTTTCGCTGTAAAGTTTGGCCAAGTTGATTCCGCAAGATCGTTCTTCACAGATTGATCACTGGATTTGGAATTTATAACGAATTTCATAGCGCCTCTCGAATGCTTCATGCTCCTTGTTCCGTATATGTTGCTGAACTGGCGGCAATACATTATACGCTAGAAACGATCGCCTCACTTGCACCAGATCATTATTTTATTTTTACCGATAGTCTCAGTTCTGTCGAGGCTATTCGCTCCATGAGGCCGGTAAAGCACTCCTCGTATTTTCTCATGAAAATACGAGAGCTTCTAAGTGCTTTATCTTAAAGATCTTTTTTCATCACCTTTGCATGGGTCCCATCTCATTGCTCGATTCCGGGTGATGTCTCGCCTCATGTCCAATCACTATTCACTAAGCGCTCACTTGTTCCGTGTTGGGCTGGGGGACAGTAATCTCTGTGAATGTGGACAAGGTTACCAGGACGCAGATCACATTATTTGGTCATGTGCTAAGCACCGTGGAGTCAGATCCGAGCTGTACGATTCCCTTGGGGCTCGAGGTAGACAACTTAATGTTCCAGTTCGGGATATTTTGGCTAGACGCGATCTGGAGTTTATGCAACTCATATATGTTTTCTTGAAGAGTATTAACCATAGATTGTAAGTTTGATTAACCTTGTGTTTAGTTTATATTTTGTATGTGTGTGTGTGTGTTTTTTTTTTTGTAGATTTGTTTCTGTAATAATTGTATAATTACAGAGTTGATATAACGTCGATAGGATTAAGTATATGTTTTAGAAATAGTGAAATTTTTGAATCATAAATCATATTACAAATCTCCTTTTCCCTCTCCCGATCCAAACAATTGTCATCCATTAACCTCGAGAAGACCGCGAGTAATCGATTCAAATCCTTTAATTTTAGATTGATAACTTGGCTCTGTAAAGTTTATTCGATTGAGCCTATACAAATAAAGTTATTAACAAAAAAAAAACACTATTTGAAAAGACTTTCGGCATGCAAAAATTTCAGAATCCGTGCATGCGGCAATTTATTACATATCTAGTAAATATTTTATAGGGTTAGTGTTCCAGTTTTTGGATCTAGTGGTTCTCTAATTGGTTATATCTTAAAATTGACATGTTTTCAATTTTCACTAAATGTGTTAAGATACATGGTTAGCACATATGTTTTTCCATATATCTACGGAAATAATACCATGAAAATATATTTCAAATTTGATTTAAACCATAGGGCCAATAACTGAAACAGTAGTACCAAAACTGGCACACATCCCCTACATATTTAATTGTAATATGATTATTTTCCCAGTTTACGAATCTCGATACAATTTAGTGTGTATTATATTCATATAGTTTCCATAAATCATGATAATTCACTATTATTCGTATATGGACGAATGAATAGCACTTAAATTTGTTGTATAACCTAATTTACTATACATGACAGGAAAACAGACAATACTGATAGCAAAAATATCAAACACACACTACCATCTTCGAGTGTTTTAGAATTATTCGCAAAACAAACAAACAGAAAAGTTTTTAAATCGCAGGCCCCATGTGTAACTGACCTTATTCCCAGCCAAATAATAATCCAATAGTTCGATATCGAGCAAACACACATTTCAAAAAGCATTCCATCACACTGCTATCTACAGAAGGCCACCGCATTTTCACCTTCTTTCCTTGTATACCGTGCAATGTTGTCTAATCGAACTTCTATGGTTGTTGTTAGCATATATACAGTTTCATAAAGGTATATACATAGGCCGTCTGCAAACATAATTCGGCTCAAAGCTCAACACATTGAAACCGACAGGAACCAAATAATCGAAAGCGAATAAATCCCGACTCCATTCAAGTTTTGAACGTTGCCGAATTGAGAAGTGCTTGCCGTTGTTTCCCTGCAAAATAAATTGCATGATGGTGGAACCAGTAGTTTGATGCAGTAACAGTAAAAGGAAAATTTTGAAATTTAATCGATGAAAAGCTACCAGCACGGGTAGTACCTGTGCAAAACTTTGGATTAATTGCTCAAAAGCTCTCAAACACGTCTCCCGTAAAGTGATGGCTTACGAAGTGCAAGTAATTATCCCATAATTAAAATAATATTACGTCAGTGCACACTCCATATCGTTTCACTTGGAATATTGAAGCAAGGTCATAGTTCTATTTTTATCCAAGAACACTTCCGACGAATCGTGCGCAAAAAAAAGTAGAACAAAAGTTGGAAAAGTTATGACACCTCCCCAGATATCGCACCTCGCGCGGGCAATTGTTTTATCAATTTTCGATTTTGAACTCGCTTCATCGCGCGCACATGTTTCGTCGATGGGAAACGAGGGGCACTCCAATTGCTAGTTGCTGTTATTTGCAAAAGTACTGTTCCGTGTCAAGAGCGGAAAAGAGTAGTTATGTGAGTTTGTGTGAGAATGGTTAAGATGGTCGGATAAAATAACAATGTAGAAATTGGATTTGGAAATCATGTGCTTGAAATAAGGAACGGGTTAGGCAAATCGATGCTAGATACAAATATAGGTATAGCTCGAAATAACGTAACGGTCACTTTTGACTTCCGTTTTCCATTGCTCTCAAATTACAACTGAATTATAAGAACCAACATCCTACCAATAGACAGAGGATCGTCTTATATATCCAATGGTGTTGTTATTTTGGTTGATTGAATAGTCGTTTGCTATAAATCAGAGATGAAAGTGTCAAATCGGTGAAAAAAGAAGATGTTACTGTTCGCTGCTGGATTGGATAACGAAACTTCCAAATAACTTATACATGCGCAAAAAAAAAACAATATATGCAACACTTTCACATTTCAAAACTTAACCTTTTTCTATGTATTGATTTTTTAATACTTAAACCTAATAACATCGCTTTATTACACCTTATTTTCAAAGGCTTAATAAACATTCATCTAGCGGTAGATTGACAAAACACTGCGATTCAGACATAAAATCTACATTAAAAATTCAGAACAAATTTAAATTTTCGACGATTTTCTTTTGAGTTGTGACAGTGTTGCATGAAACCGACGATATTTTTATCTTAAGTGTAAAGATACAATGTTTTATGTATAAAAAATATCAAAAGACCCCCAACCCCAAGAGCGTTAAAATGACTATAATAAAAAAAAATTTCATTTGATGATTTCTGAACACACTCATTATTCAATATCAAACAATAATAGCAATAAACTGAACAATAAATCCCTTCGCCACAACAAGCGCTGGCATATGCTATTTTCAATTAAAGATCGTAGGTTATCGTATAAAATATCAATCACTGGCATTTTCGGTGACATTTCAATGCTATCTTTAGCATGAAAACACGTACCCCAGGTTGATCGGCGTAGTGCTTTAGAACAGTGTTTCTCAATCGATAGGGCGCGGGCTGCCTTCAGATCTCAGGAATTCAAACAACTTTAGCAGCACTTTCAAGAATATTAAAATAATGGATAGACCACTCTTAAAATTGCGAAGCAATGTTGACGTTTCTATGTCATTTTAGTATTTTACGTTTTGAAAACTATTGTAATGGTTTCCAGAATGTTTTTAAAGCCATTTTAGAGAATCCTTTGTTGCGATTTTAGGCTATTTTTCCGTCACCCGGAGTCACTTTTATTTTAAATTTTCACCGTTTCGAGGTGGTTTTCCTGTTAAAACTATTTATTGGTTTTGATACTACACCCAACTTTTGCTCGGTTACATTATTTCAATCATCTTTTTCTGTGGTGAACTTATGAAATTTAAGAAAGTACCAATAATTATCATTGATTTTTTTTTAAACTAGTCGCATCAAAGAATTATTTCAATTGCCGATCGATGAAAGAAAAATACAGACGTGCAAATTTTGAGTTGGGTGTACCTAAGGGGTGTTCATTAATTACGTAGACAGTTTTTTGGGATTCTTGCCACCCCCTCCCCCTGTCAATTGTCCATATTTTTTTTTTTTAATTTGTATGGGCCGTGGATATTTCCGAAAAAAAATCCGTTTCGAAAATCGTCAACCTCAAGTCACGATTTTCGGAACAAGTCAATTTTTCGATAACGAAAGTGCACCATGAATAAAAATCATGAAATCGTGAACAAATAAACGTAACGCCTGCTGAACCGGGCACCAGCTAAGGCAACAAAGGTCATATAAATGTGAACTCTTTTCTGAAAATAATGGTCTTGTTCTTCTAAACGTGATTAAAGTTCATAAGTTGTGCTTAATATCGTGATCCTATTCTCGAAAACGGGAACATGGATTGTAAAACGTCAACATTAAAATAATGTTCAATGTTTTCAATGGATTGTACAGCATGGAAGTGGAAGGAAACTGTAAATGACGGAAGACTTGGCTGGAACAACCGAACGATACAGGTTACACCCACACCCCAAATTGGCAGCAGGCATCTGTCCAGCACATGGAGTGGATACACAGCTCATCAATTCAAATCATCATCATAACAAGCTAAAGGGACTTAGTGTGCTTGGTAATCTTCCCTCCAATGCTATTTCTAGGGTCCGAACTAGCAGAAAACATACCCACCGCCTCTAGAGCAATCTTCAAAGTTTTCTGGAGCCGCTTTCACGCCGATTTGGCGCTTGAAACAGGAAATCCGCTGGCCCACCCTTTTTCTTCGAGGCTCAGCTGCATGCACTAATAATCAACACACTATTCTCGACGAATCCGAGCACTCAGTAGGGATAAGTTTGACAACAACCTGAAAATGACATCTGCAGCTTTGCATGTGATCCAAATTCACGATTGCAGGAACAAAAATCACAATTATGGGTTCATGGTATCACGAAAACATGATCTTTTTTATATTTTGCTTAGCGTTACGATCACTAATCGTACTGATCTTCACGCCTGTTCACAGATTTGGGATTAAGTTCATAAAAATTCGTTTTACTCAATCACGGAAACTAAGTCATGAATTCGAAAGAACTAGTGGTTCAGCTTCTCGTGATTTTTTGTTCACGAATATCACAACGGTTTTTTTTTTAATTTTGCGTGTACCCTTCTAAGTGTGAGAGCACTCTCCAAAGGCGCACCCCCTTGTCAGTCAAAATAGGATTCCTTAGCAACAAAATTAAGCAATTACATCGATAATGACCATGCATCAGAACCCTAGTCCTAACCACTTCAAACTAGAGAACAACGAATAATGATTGTACTCGAAAAAAATGCAACACTTTCTTTTATGTATAACTTTTTATTGCATGGGTAAAAATTGTTGAAATTTTGAGTAAAACTAATTTAGAGTGTAATGTTTACATGTGCAAAATCTCGTCATAATCTGTCAAGTGCTTATCGAGATGGCTTCCAAGCAAGAAGTGCTTCGACAAAGAAATATGGGAGCGGTCGTGGAAAATCCAGGCCAGTCCCACAGGTGTATCGCGAAACAGTTTAGAATCGACAATTCGACCGTTTCCCATATGGTAAAATCATTCAACGACCCAGCGGCGAACTGGCAGCGTAAGAAACGCAAAGACGACCGACAAGGCGAACGCAAGGAAGGTAAGGAATTACTTCAATCGCAATCCGAACCTTTCGATTCGGGACGTGGCCAAGAAGGTCTGGTTCTGGTCTGGTTCGTCCAGCAGAACATGAAGCGGGCCGGACTTCTTGTCTTCAAGGTAAGGAAGACACCTAACGGAACCAATAAACAGAATACGGCGGGTTAAATCCCGCGCCAGGAAGCAGTACCGCGACGAAATGCATCGTAATGGACGACGAGACGTACATTAAAGCGGACGCCAAGCAGATCCCCGGCGTGGAGTTTTTCGTCGATCTGTGGGTGTGGAAAATTCAGCAAGCCGTACATAACGACCGGCACCATCAACTGCCAAATATATAAAGAAGAATGCCTTCAGAAGCGCCTGATGTCCTTCCTCAAGTCCCACAAGGGTGACACTCTGTTTTGGCCATTACGCGAAACCGGTGATGAAGTAGTACGAATCCAACGATGTTGTTGTTGTGCCGAAGGAGGCAAATCCGCCAAACTCGCCAGAACTTCGCCCAATACAACATTTCTGGGCGATTATGAAGGGCAAGTTCCGGAAAACAGGGAAGGTCTTAAACAACGATAAGGATTTGAAGAAAGAGTGAATGAAAGTGTGTAAGAAAGATGGCGCAAGTGTTGCATAGTATTTGATGGGTAGCTTTAAGTCCAAGGTGCGGCATTTAGCCTAGGAAAAGAGGTTGAATAAACCAACTTTGCAAAAACATAGTTAATATGTGTTTATTTATTCCCTAAGTTTTTCAAAAATATCCGACTTCAAATGAATTTTTGATGATCATTTTTGTCTGTTGCATTTTTTTCGAGGAGGAATTACATAGATGAAGACTAACTTACTCATGTTTTCTTTGTTTAAAGTTCATCCTCGGTGGACAAAGCCAAGCCTTGTCACAAAATATCAACAAGGTATAAAAATTAACAAGAACCAAGATGTGATCCTTTGATTACTGAAAAATCCCTAGTTTGAAGTAGTCAGGACTCTGAATCGGTGGTAACTTATAACGAAAAGGTGATCTACACACGATACGGACATGGAAGTTCTTACAATGGACTGAGCGTACAATCAAGTTTATGCAGAATGAATATTTTCCTATTAAACCTTCCAGAGAACATTTTCTAGCCCCAGTGCATTTGAGGAATCAAACATTGTTCGAAAAGTTAATTAAGATAAAAATTACAAAATTATATAAAAAAAAACAGAATTTGTTCAGACGGATAAACATAACAATTTCTGTGAACTTTTTATGTTAATCTGTAATAGAATCTTACGTTTCCCGGTTGTGTGAATCTGAAATGTATTATGCCATTTCAGAATACAACTGGATAATCGTGATGATTCAATCGGTCTTGGGTTATTTTAGCATATAAGCTTCGTTGCTGAAAAATATCTTTCAGCCTAAGCATGACGTTACTGGGGACAGTAACATGATACTGCACAGTAATTTAAGATCTGTAGAGCAGTTTCACGCCAAATGATGAATCGATCTGATGCGACCATCCCCGATTTGCATGAAAGTTTACATAATTGTTTGATATGGTCAATAATTCACAATTGAGCTAA